AACTGTCTGAATGCCTGTGGGTGAAGGTTGGATTACTTGAATTGAAACGATTCATTGAAATCCGTATTTTAGCCTACTTGCGAGTAGCAAACTTCAAACCATTTCCAAACAAACGGACATGCAATGCTTTGTTCCAAATTAGGCGATCTAGTCTATACTTGTGTGTTGTGTACATCACATAGTAAATTCTAACTAATAACTGGAATAAGAACGCATATGTTTTCAAAAACAAGATATCATGCTTAGTACAGGCCGATCTTTGATCGGGCGAGCGGGGGTGCTCATAGATGACCTTCTCCAATCGTACCCAAGTTCCCGAGACGAGGCAACTTTGGTGATGACGGACACGTGGCCTTAGGCAACGAGTCAGGGTTTCCTAAATTCTCCCAAAATAAAATATTTAGGTGGCGACTCTGTATCTGGCAAAGCAATCCATGTTTGGCACTTCTTTCTTAAAAATTAATTTTCCAAAACGATTTGCTGAATTTGAACTCTTTGGTGATTTATCTGTCTTGTATTACAGTTTGCGAGATCATATTAAGAACCGTGACATTTGAGTCCGAACTGTACCACTAATTTGAGTCCGACAAAAGGGGGAAAATTTGTTTCATTTTTATTTTAATGATTTTTTTTTATTTGGTAGAAGTAGGAGTAATATTTTAATGAAAAATATTTTTCGTTAAAGTAAAATTAATTTTTTATGGTCAATGAAAAATATTTTTTTGTGGGCCATTTTTTTTTTTTTTTGGTTACTAAAAATCAAGAACTAATTTTTTGTGGTAGAGGAGAGGAAGCGACAGTGGTGGTGAAGGTGGTGAATAAGAGGTGATGGTGGTGGTGGTGGTGGTGGTGATGGTGAAGGAAATTAGTGGTGAAGTTGTGGTAGTGGTAGAGGAGATGGAGTGGCGATAGTAGAGGAGATGTAATAGTAGTAGTAGTGGTGGTAGTGGTAGTGGTAGTGGAGTGGTAACGATGGTGGTAGTAATGGTAGTCGTAGAGGTGGAGTGGCAACAATGGTAATAATGCTGGTAGTGGAATGACATTTGCAGTAGTAGTGAATGTGGCAGAGGAGATGGGTGGTGAGAGAGAGATGAGTGAGAGAGAGATAGAGAAGAGAGAAAGAGACAGAGTGATGAGCGAGAGAGAGACAAAGTGGTCGCTAAAAGTGCATTTTCTTATAGTGAAGAGCTCGGTAAATAGAGAAGATGGGAGAGAGAGAGAGTGAGCAAGGTGAACACAATGGGGGAGAGAGACAGATAGACGGACAGACACATAGAGAGAAAGAGAGAGAGAAGAGTGAGAGACAGACATATAGACATAGAGAGAGAAAGAGAGAGAGAAGAGAGAGAGAGAGAGAGATTGAGAGAGAAAGAGACAAACAGAAACAAGAGATGAGTGAGAGATAGACAAAGAGAGAAAGAAAGAGAGTGAAAAGAGATGATCGACAGAACATAGAAAAAGAGAGAGATAGAGAGAGAAGAAAGATGAACGAGAGAAACAGAGAGAGAGATGAGTGAGAGAGATAGAGATAGAGAAAGAAAAAAGATGAGAGAGATAGAGAGAAGAGAGATGAACGAGAGACAAAGAGAAAAAGAGACAGAGACAGAGACAAAGACAGACAGACAGACAGAGAAGAGTGATGAGTGAGAGAGAGAAAAAGAAGAGAGAGAGAGACAAAGAGAGACGAGAGATGAACGAGAGAGACAGAGAGAGATAAATAGAAGAGAGATGAGCGAGAGAGACATAGAGATGAACGAGAGATATAGAGAGAGAAGAGAGATGAGAGAGAACGAAAGAAAAGAAAAGAGATGAACGAAAGAGATAGAGAGAGAAAAGAGATAAGAGAAGAGATAGATAAGTGAGAGACACAAAGAGAGAGACAGACAGACAGACAGATACATAGACAGACAGACAGACAGACAGAGAAGAGTGATGAGTAAGAGAGAGAAAGAGAAGAGAGAGAGGAAGATGAAAAAATGGGTGAAAAGAGACAGACAAAGAGAGAGAGAGAGAGAGAGAAAAAGAGTGAAAAGAGATAAACGAGAGAGAGATAGAGAGAAATGAGCGAGAGAGTGAGAGAGATAAAGAGAAGAGAGAGAGAAAATAGACAGAGAGAGATGAGAGATGAGAGAGATAGAGAGAAGAGAGATGAGCGAGAGACATAGAGAGAGAGAGACAAACAGAGAAGAGTGATGAGTGAGAGAGAGAAAGAGAAGAGAGACAGAGACAAAAACAGAGACATAGAGAGAAAGAGAGAGACAGACAGACAGAGAAGAGTGATGAGTAAGAGAGAGAGAAAGAGAGAGACAGACAGAAAGAGAGAGAAAGAGTGATGAGTGAAAGTAAATTTTAGTTTTTCGTTCAGCGACTAAATTATTTTAGTTGCCAAAACTATCTATAATATTTTAGTCGTTGAAATTAAATTTTTGTCGACCAAACTTTTGGTCGCCAAAGATAAAAAGTGAATTTTTATTTTTCTTTCAGCGACTAAATTATTGTAATCGCCAAAACTATCTATACAGCAACAAAAATATTTTTTAGTCGCTGAAATTAAATTTTTGCCGACCAAAATTTTGGTTGCCAAAGATAAAAAGTAAATTTTTATTTTTCTTTCAGCGATTAAATTATTTTAGTTGCCATAACTATATATACAGCGACCAAAATATATTTTAGTCGTTGAAATTAAATTTTTGCCGACCAAACTTTTGGTCGTCAAAGATAAAAAATAAATTTTTATTTTCCATTTAGCGACTAAATTATTTTAGTTGCCAAAACTATATATATAGCAACAAAAATATTTTTTAGTTGCTGAAATTAAATTTTTGCCGACCAAACTTTTTGTCGCCAAAGATAAAAAAATAAATTTTTATTTTTCATTCAGTGACTAAATTATTTTAGTTGCCAAAACTATGTATACAGTGATTAAAATATTTTTTAGTCGCTGAAATTAAATTTTTTGCTGACCAAACTTTTGGTCGCCAAAGATAGAAAATAAATTTTTATTTTTCATTCAGTGACTAAATTATTTTAGTTGCCAAAACTATCTATACCGCGACTAAAATATTTTTTAGTCGCTGAAATTAAATTTTTGCCGACCAAAATTTTGGTCGCCAAAGATAAAAAGTAAATTTTTATTTTATTTCAGCGACTAAATTATTTTAGTTGCCAAAACTATATATACAGCGATCAAAATATTTTTTAGTTGCTGAAATTAAATTTTTGCCGACCAAACTTTTGGTCGCCAAAGATAAAAAAATAAATTTTTATTTTTCATTCAGCGACTAAATTATTTTAGTTGCCAAAACTATCTATGCAGCGACTAAAATATTTTTTAGTTGCTGAAATTAAATTTTTGCAGACCAAACTTTTTGTCGCCAAAGATAAAAAATAAATTTTTATTTTTCATTCAGCGACTAAATTATTTTAGTTGCAAAAACTATGTATACAGTGACTAAAATATTTTTTAGTCGCTGAAATTAAATTTTTTGTCGACCAAACTTTTGATCGCCAAAGATAAAAAATAAATTTTTATTTTTCATTCAGCGACTAAATTATTTTAGTTGCCAAAACTATCTATACCGCGACTAAAATATTTTTTAGCCGCTGAAATTAAATTTTTGCCGACCAAAGTTTTTGTCGCCAAAGATAAAAAGTAAATTTTATTTTTCTTTCAGTGACTAAATTATTTTAGTTTCCAAAACTATATATACAGCGACCAAAATATTTTTTAGTCGCTGAAATTAAATTTTTGCAGACCAAACTTTTGGTCGCCAAAGATAAAAAATAAATTTTTATTTTTCATTCAGCGACTAAATTATTTTAGTTGCCAAAACTATTTATACAGCGACTAAAATATTTTTTAGTCGCTGAAATTAAATTTTTGCTGACCACAATTTTGGTCGCCAAAGATAAACAGTGAATTTTTATTTTTCATTCAGTGACAAAATTATTTTAGTTGCCAAAACTATGTATACAATGACTAAAATATTTTTTTAGTCGCCAATTGTGGCAAATTTAGCCACTAAATTTTTTTTAGTCACCAATTGTGAGATTTTTAGCAACTAAATTTTTTTTTAGTCGCCAAAAATTATTATACCCCGACTAAAAAAATTTAGTAGCAAAATATTATACTTTTACCGACTAACATAATTTTTTGTCACCAATTCCACAACTTTTGGCAACCAAAATATTTTTAGTCGGCAAAAGTGGTTGCCAAAAGTGTATTTTCTTATAGTGCCGTTCATAACATCAATTATGATGGCTTATATTTCCTGCAAATTAGACTCTGCACTTTTTTGGACAACAATTATATGTACCACATTTCATTTTCTTTTTTTCTTGGAAAATTTATACTCGTGGTTCTTGTAACCTATTTCTTGTATCAATTTGATCTATGTAATTTTAATTACATCAATTGTATACTTTAATTTTTTACATTGTTTCAATTGAATCCATTTTTTTTTCTTGATCGGCAAAGAAAACTTTATTGATGAAACACATACAAAGTACGATAAATTACATCAATAAAAGAGGAGCTTAGAGCTAAATAAAGCTCCAACCTCCTAGTTGGTGAAAAACCAACAAACAGAGCAAAAGCAAAGACAAACAAGAAGAGTAAAAGAAAAGACAAATCCTGAGCAAAGCAGCAAAACAACTTGCAGGGCATAGCAGACCAACAGATAAAACCAAGACTATACAGCATCACCTTTGTTTAAAACACCAAAATCTAACTGTAACAGATAGCAAAACAAACAACAACAGATCCTGAGCAAGCTCTAACCACATAGGAGATAAGGAGAAAGGGAACAGTAGCAATCATAATATTAACTGGAGAATCAAGCACTTGCCCTAATCTGTCTCTATTTGAAGACAAGATCATCAACTGTGTAGGGGAAATTCTTAATGGAAACTTTGAGCCAAAGGGCTGATATGAATTTGATGAGTTCAAGTAGACCAGATGAGTTGGGTTGTGCGTTAGAAAATATACATTCATTTTCGTGCTAACAAAGAGACCAAAGAACAATTAATGGGATGGCTCTCCAAATTGACCTTTCACGCTTCTGAAATTTATCACTCATCCACCAAGTAAGTAGACCATCAACTGATTTAAGAATGCACCAATGAAATCCCCAATCTTCAATCACTGCAGACCAAATTAACCAAGGAAATGGGCAATGGAGAAGGACATGAGTAGCAGATTCCAATTCAGAACTGCAGAAGGGGCAAAGAGACGAAACATTATTGTCAAGAATACCAATCCTGAGCAAAAAGTCTGAACGTTTAATCCTATTTTTCCAAGCCAACCAATAGAAGAACGAAACTCTAGGGGGCAATACAGAACTCCAGACAAGTTTACAGATTCTTAGATGGGGTACTAGGAGAGAAGAGCTGTGAGAATAAAGAGTAGAGACAGAGAACTGGCCTACAGAAGCATTAGACCAAACTTGGCAGTCTGCAGAATCCATACACAGAGAAGGAGCTAAGGATAATAAAGAAATCAGGCTAGCTTCTTCAACCAATTCCCAAGAATATAACTCTTTTCTATGGGGGAAGTTCCAAACACTTGGGCTTGATTTCCTAGCAAAGTAATGGTGAAGGGAGCCCTCCTGATTAGTTGAAAGATTAAAAAGAAGAGGAAAAGCAGATTTCAGGCAAAAGGCACCACACCACCTATCAAACCAAAAATTGATTCTGTTGCCATTCCCCACTTTGATTACATAGTTGTCCAAAAAGAAGTTGAAAGTAGGCTTGTTAAGAGCCCTAATGGATAAAATGTCACTCCATATTATAGACTGCTTGTAAGAAGGCCTTATTGGAGGATGCCAACAATCTTACTTAATCTTATATTTACTGCAAATAGCTCTCCTCCAAGGTGCATTGATTTGGTTTCCAAATTTCCACCACCATTTGAGTAGTAAACAATCATTGACATCCCTAACCCTTCTGATACCTAAACCTCATTGGTCAATACTCTTTGTAACCTCCTCCCATTTCACTAGATGAACTTTCATTTTAAGATCACTACCACCCCATAAGAATGCAGCCTCAATCTTTTCTATTTCTCTAGACACTCCTTCAGGCATTTTAAATAAAGAAAGAAAGTAAACAGGTAAGCTGGAAAGGATAGACCTGATCAAAGTTAGTCTACCTGCAAAGGATAGCAATTTTCTCGTCCACCCTGATAGTCTAGATTTGATTTTGTTAAGAACAGGCTTCCAAGTAGATTTCCTACCAAGGTTAGCACCTAAAGGCAGCCCCATAAATTTTAATAGAAGGCCTTACAGCTTACAGTTGAGAAGATTAGCAAAAGAAGTCATTAAATCATAGCCATACCAACACCACACACAACACTCTTCTGGTAGTTAATTTTGAGACTCGATAGTACTTCAAAGCATCTGCGAACTTTTTTAATGGATGCCAATTGATCCCAATCAGCTTCATAAAAGAGAATTGAATCATCGGCAAATTGCAAATGTGAAATAAGAACGTTATTAGTCCCAACTACCACACCATTAAGAATACTAAGGTTAAGTGCTCTAACTAGAAGAATGTTAAGCCGTTCAAACACTATGTTGAATAGGAAAGGAGAGAGTGGATCACCTTGCCTAAGGCCTCTTTGGGGGGAGAATTCCTCAGTAGGTGATCCATTCACTAGAATAGAGATTCTTGCTGTAGACTCACAAGCTTTCATCCAAGAGATCTATTTATCCCCAAAGCCAAAATTGGTCATCAAAGAGAATAGGAATTCCCAATTAACATAATCAAATGCTTTCTCAAACAATTTAAGAATCAACCCTTGCTTTTTGGCCTTCTTTCAACCGTCCACCACTTCATTAGCAATGAACACCCCATCAAGAATATTTCTCCCTCCTATGAATGTAGTCTGAGTTTCACCAGTGATTGAGGGAAACACTGATTTCAATCTGTGTAAAAGAACTTTGGCCAAGATTTTGTAAATAGATCCCACAAGACTTATAGGTCTATAATCACATAGACCAATTGGATTTTCTAACTTGGGAATAAGAGTAATAAATGTACTATTAATGCCATAAGTGAGCCTGCTGTTGGAGTGAACCTCCTTGAAAAACTGCATTATGTCCGGCTTCATAACCTTCCAAAATTTTTGATAACACAATAGGTTGAACCTATCAGGGTTTGGAGCTTTATTGTTGTTACAATCTTTAATTGCTGCTAAGACTTCAGCTGTACTTAACTCAGCTACTAGATGTTGAGAAACATAATCTGACTCAATAGTATTGAATACCCATCGCAAAATAGGTCTCTTAACCCATGATTCAATGAATTGAGTCTTGAAATGGTATAAAACTTGATGCTTGACCCTGCTAGGTTCCTCAAAAGACATACCATTAACTGAAATAGAGGTAATCAGGTTTCTACTTTGCCTGGTACTAGCAACAACATGGAAGAACCTAGTGTTTTTATGCCCATTGAGAGTCCAGTTCAGTCTGAATTTTTGATGCCATATCCACTCTATCATTCTGTAAAGTTTCCATATCTCACCTCTAACCACCCTTCTTCTTTCCTTTTCTGAAGCAACCAGTGCCATTTCCTCTGCAATGATGTCCAATGCATGTAACTCTTCCTCTGAAGATTTGATTTTGGAAGGAATATTGCCAAACACCTCAATATTCTAAGATTTTAAGATCAACTTAAGATGCTAGAGCTTTTGAAGAAGTATGAATACAGACCAACCAACAAAGGTGGTATTTGTCCAGAAAGTAACCAAAAGCTGAGAAAATTTGGGATGGAGAGTCCACGTATTTAGGAACCTGAAGGTTTCGGCCCTCAATCTCTATCATCCTCCATCATTAGCAAAGGGCAGTGGTCTGAAATTAACTTGGGCAATCCCTAGAGTTTCATTGTGAAATTAATCAGCCACTCAGGACTGAGCAAGATTCTATCAATTCTACTTCATTTCTCTGATTCCTGGGCATTACACCAAGTGTATTTCCTTCCATGAAGAGGTAAATCATGAAGCTCACTTTTGACAATGAATTCATTTAAGTGTTTCATTCCCCTATCCCTCCTAGAGGATCCTATCCTTTCACCCATATGCCTAATTTCATTAAAGTCTCCACCCATGCACCAAGGATTAGGGAAAGAAGATTTAAGATTTACGCTTTAAGAGATTGCCCCAAAAATTGGATCTGGTGCTGACATCATTGGGTGCATAAATGTTGAGCAATACATAATCAAAGGAATTGTATAAAGAACCAGAAAGTAAAATATACCTCCTATTGCAGCAGTAGCCAGAAAGTGTGAAGAAAGCAGGGTCCCAGATACATAATAGCCCTCTAACTGTTCGTTCAGGATCAACAAACATAAACTCCATGTTTCTACTCCTCCATATCCTTCGAACAGCAATATCAGATAGCACTGCCTTTTTGGTCTCTTGAAAAAAAAAAACATCGATATGTCTATCCTTTAGGAGCTTTTTGATTCTGCCCTACTTGTCTGCCTTACCCATACCCCTGATATTCCAAGATAATAATTTCATAGAAAACCAATTGATACACTCAAATCGCCCATCATTAACAAAATTGGCCACAAATCAAGAGTAAAATAATTTATTAAAAAATAAATGAATTATTTCAAATTAGATATCAACCCCTCAATCATTTTAAAAAGATTAAATGAGCTGTTTGGTCCCTTAATTTTAGTTCTATTTATAAAGTGGCATCATCAATTGGACTAATTTAATATAGTGTGAAAAATTCATTGGTAAAACTAAATTGTAGGGACTATAGCTGTAATTTATCCCTTTTTTTATTTAATACTGCATGTGCAATTTGAAAATAATAATAATAATATAAGAATAATGACAACAAAAATAAATAAATACAAACATAGTATATGTTGCTCAAGTGATAATAGTCTTCCGTTTCAAACCCATGATCTCAGTTTCAAGTTATGTCTTTCTATTAATATAATTTTTACATTAATATTATTGGTTCATATTCTTCTCTCTCAATACGTTTCATTATCTTGTATCTTTATTTTCATGGTTTAAATGAATTTTTCTTTGTCGATAAAAAAAAAAAAAAACTATAGAAATATTTGAAAAGGCTCAAAATATGAAACAGTTAGTGTCAATACCATCTCAAGGCTTTATATGTAAATTTTCTTATGAGGTGGCCAAACTAAGGATAAATATGTCGTGGCTTAGATTTTAATGTGGCCCAAATTAAGGGTAAATATGTAGGGAGGAGACCGTCCAGAAGATTTGGACTGGAGGGGATTGCTTCAACCCATGAGATTTATTACGGGTCCTATTTTATTAATTTCAACCGTTTATTTTGTTGAGTACTTTGTGAATTTCATTCACACAAAAAATTAGATCGATATGATAATTGTAATTTGTTCAATTTATTATATATTTCATTAAAAGAAATAAACGACAATCATGTTTTTAAAACATGAACTATAGATTTTTTTGATGACAAAAATAATAAATTGAACAAATTACAATTATTAGATTGATTTAATTTGTTTTGTAAATGAAATACACGAAATACCTGACAAAATGAACCGTTAAAATCATTGACTTGGAATCCTCCTCCTATTTGTAGTGGCTTAGATTTTAATGTGGGTCAAATTTACGTTCATTGGGACAGTTACGTAATTGACTTTTTTTTTTTTTTTTTTTTGCTTATTGTTCTTCAATTGGTTTAAATATAAAGATGATACATTTTTTTCTTTGCGAAACGAAAAAAACTATTGATGAAATAAAACATTAAAAAAGAATAAAAAAGGAACATTATGTGGATGGCCCATAAAATCATGCTAGAGATCACAGCATGAGCATCCCATTCCTTCTGGACCTTCCCCATGACTATTCCATCTTACATTAATTAACGGAGAAATCCTTATTTAAAATTTAAAAAATAAAATAAAACAACAACAAAAATAGATTGGAATTTTTTTATTTTTTTAAAAAAGGGTGATGAAACGGCTAGTCATATGATGATATAGCGCGCGATAACTTCAATTGTTCAACACTGCACTTTATGCACAAACTTCTAAGTAAGTAAAAAATAATAATTTAAATGGTGTTTAAAAAATAAAGCCGCAACGTAGAAAAGGTGGACTTATTCTGAATCTCCCATGATAGCTGAGCTGGGTAGCTGAGATTCCTTGAAGAATATGCTAAGGAGGTTTCCATTTGTTTTGTCTTAAAAACACATTCTTTATCAATTAATTAGTATCATAGTTAACCCCATGTTACTACACATTTCAATGCCAAATGGGATTATTGAAAATTAAGGTAATTGCGGCTGATTAGAGTAGGAACCAGCAATAAAGCTATCAATCCCAAACTCACATAAATATTTACTCAGAAAAATAATTCCGAGTTCAAATTCAATTCTTTTAGGCCCACATATAAAATAAATCCGAAGTGTATATTGATTTTTCTAAATATTTATTTTTTTGCGCAGAGATTATGAATATCTATTCCAAATGCAACCATACTATGACTTTTACAAAAATGAATTTAAACAGCATACTTTTTTTTCGAATACGTTACAAGTAATTTTGGGTCTCTATTTCGTGTGCAACCCTATTCCATCTTACATTAATTAACTGAGAAATCCTTATTTAAAATTTAAAAAACAAAATAAAACAACAACAAAAATAGATTGGAATTTTTTTATTTTTTTAAAAAAGGGTGATGAAACAGCTAGTCATATGATGATATAGCGCGTGATAACTTCAACTGTTCAACACGACACTTTGGTTATGTTTGATTTACAAAGACTAATAGTAAGGTATTAATAATCCTATCAAATTAGTGTGATATTCACTATCCACCCCTACCCCATTACTAATAATTCTACAAATTTGTTGGATTAATTATCTATTGGATTAATAATCCTAAACCAAAATGTCAAAACAAACATAAGATAATGGGACCCACGGATTAATAATCCATATCCCATGCTTTAATCCTGCCAATCAAACATGTTATGCATAAACTTCTAACTAAGTAAAAAGTAATAATTTAAATGGTGTTTAAAAAATAAAGCTGCAAAGTAGAAAAGGTGGACTTATTCTGAATCTCCCATGGTAGCTGAGCTGTGTAGTTGAGATTCCTTGAAGAATATGCTAAGGAGGTTTCCATTTGTTTTGCCTTAAAAACACATTCTTTATCAATTAATTAGTATCATAGTTAACCCCATGTTACTACACATTTCAATGCCAAATGGGATTATTGAAAATTAAGGTAATTGCGGCTGATTAGAGTAGGATCCAACAATAAAGCTATCGATCCCAAACTCATACACAAAAATTTACTCAGAAAAATAATTCCGAGTCCAAATTCAACTCTTTTAGATCCACATATAAAATAAATCCGAAGTGTATATTGATTTTTCTAAATATTTATTTTTTTGTGCAGAGGTTCTGAATCTCTATTCCAAACGCAACCATACTATGACTTTTACAAAAATGAAATTAAACCACTTACTTTTTTTTTAAATACTTTATAAGCAGAGATTTTGGATCTCTATTTCATGTGCATCCCTACTAAAACTTTTACGGTTGTTATATTGGGACACTTGTGTACTTCTCAAACAATTATCATACATTTTTTTTTGGGTTCACTGCATTCGAAAGAATCTAATGGCCCTACCTAGCAGCCAAGAAGCATTAGACAGTTTTACATATTTTTAG